AGCTAAATTAATCTGTTGGGAAATCGAAGATTTATCAGTGAGGAAAGGATAGATCTCTCCAGAGAATGGAAGCACAATTAGCAAATTAATTAATCTACCTATAGATTTACTGTGATGATTATCTGTTAGCTTAACTAAGAAATTGTTGCCGCTCTTGGTAGAGACCCCTACTTTCCCCTGTTAGCTGCATTTGCTCAGGCAGGTGTGTTGACACCTACAAGAATTCAGTGGAGGAAATACAAAGTCAGGGTTATACTTCTGTATTTCCCCCCACATTTTTTTTTAGAAAAAAATGTTTATTTTTGTCAAATTTATATCTGCATATTGTTTATTTCTTTTTATTCTATTTTTAATTGAAGGGTAATTACATTATAGTGTTGGTTTCTGCCATACATCAACATGGATCAGTCATAGTATACATAGCTTCAAGATTCAATCCCACAAGATTTGGTAAGCAAAAACCTTGGTTTTTTTCCCTTCCGCCATTTTTTCCCTTCACCAAAAGCAATCACTTTCCACTGTCTTAGTTGATTCTCTTATTGATTGATTTCTCGCTATGGAAGCTGTGGGTTTAGCTTTCTGTTTTCCTATCCGTAAATATACATATTCATCATTCCATCCTCTCATCAATCAGGTTTAGTTATAAATTTAGCTAGATCAAGAGGCAGTGTCTGCACTGTTATGGCTCAGAAAACACTATTCAGAGTTTAGACAATTAATAAACTATGATTACATTTCATCTCCTGCCTGAACAATTCTTGGTTATCACTGGAGTTCTTTAGTACCGTTTTAAATTTTTTATTTTTTACTTGCTGTTAAGATCTACTCATTCTTTTCCCTTTACCCTCTCCACAAATTTTCCACCAGTTTGCTTTCTTCTCTCTTGTGTGAATTCAATTAAGTGAATGAAACTCTGAAACTCTGTCATTCGAGATGCCACACGTTTAGTAGTGTGTGTTGAGTAGATTCAACCCGACTCAGGAGAGAAAGAAAAGAGTGATATAATGGCACAGGGAAAGTAGATGGGCGCTGGGCATCTGCAGCAGCACAAGCAATTCCAGACAACTGTTGAGCAATCTGGGGAGAGTCATCAGTTACTTTTGGAGCACGACTTTGAAGTTTTTGTCTGATAAACATACAAGTGTGGTCTATGCTAAACAGATGGGTCAAAACGCCTGGTGATTCTGAGGTCTGAATCACAGACGAAATTCTACTCTTTCTTACCTGAGTGGAAGTGTCTTCAAAATCAGCAACGTTAGAGAAGGTGTAGCTGAGAGTCAACTTGTGCTTCCTAAAGGAATTCAGAAGTGGTAGTATGTGGGCTTGCCTGGTGGCTCAGTGGTAAAGAATCTGCCTGCCAATATAAGATGTGGGTTCAATCCGTGAGTCGGGAAGATCCCTTAGAGGAGGAAATAGCAATCCAGTTCAGTATTTTTGCCTGGGAAAACCCATGGGCAGAGGAGCCTGGGGGGTGGTCTATGCAGTCACAAAAGAATCAGACACGACTTAGTGACTAAACAACAGAAGTGTGTGTCTTAAGCAAGGCTCAGAAGAGGTAAGTGAAGAATAGAATGAAAATTTTGCAATAGTGATGTGCCACTAACCACAACTGGCCAGAGAGGTAAACTGAGCAATCAAGTATGACCCTGACATCCACGTACCAGCACTGAAAAACTACATACATCCCCGCCAACAGACCTCATTCCTTTTTTGTTTGTTTACAGCTCACAGAGGATAGATTTTCAGGCCAAGGAGGCAGCAGGGAAAAGGGAAATAGGCCTTCCCACTTCTTTTCTGTTTAATTCCATTTAGACACACCACTTGACCTTTGCGCTTTTGGTACCTGTTTCTGGCTCTCAAATGCAATTCAGCTCCTTTTTAAGAGATGCTTATGAAATGCAGAATTGGGGGATGAGAAGGGGAGCTGATGTTGTATCCCCTTTACCATAAAGAATAATAAAAACACAAGGCTGGAGGCTTCTTTGGGGTCTTTATAGCGAGACTGAAATCCTACATCTCTCATCCTGCTCCCTCCCATCTTGGTTTTCTCCCTTTCTGACTCGCTGGAGATTTAGATCATTTGCTTTCAGCGGTCTCTTGAGGAGAATGACCAGGCACAAATGCTGACATTAAAGTGCAGACACCACACTGAGTTGTGATGGGCCAAAAACAGTCAAAAGGAAGCAAGCCAAATGTGAAGGAAGAGGGCACGGAAGCAACCAGTCATTCTAGGCAGACACCTGAAATGGCCATAAATGTTGTTTTAATGCAGAGACTCCAGCCACGATTTGCTGCCTGTTTCAGCTGAAGTGCATTTTGTTCATGTCTCCTGCACTTGGTGGATCTTCCAAAGGCAAACTCATTATGAACTATTAGAATTTTAATGCCCATGAGGTTACAAACCCTGGTCCTATTTGTAACAATTCTTCAGAGTGTCCAAGGTGGAAAAAATTTGAGAATGAAAGGCTGTTGAGAAAGAACGGGACAGTGTGTTCATTTTAAAAGGGGAAATGTTTTAATTTGAGTTAATTTTGGTAGAAAAAGACCTTAGGGATATTTCAGGTGGGAACTAGAATTTACATAAATTGAAACATAGATTGGAGAGCTTTTTTAGATGGCTGTTTCCTCAAATATTCCATGGTTTTTAAAAAGGGCTCCCAATATTGTTACAGGAATGGGAACGTACATTTTAACCAAAAAAAAAAAAAAGAATCTCATTGTCTTTTTATCTTCTTCTCTTCCATTTCCCCTCTGTTAATCAGATAATTAATTCCTTTTAAAAAATTAACTTCTTTATTTTAAAACTATTTATTTTGTATTGGGGTATAACTGATTAGCAAACAATGCTATGATAGTTTCAGGGGAACAGCAAAGGGACTCAGTCATACATATACATGCATCCATTCTCCCCCAAACTCCTTTCCCATCCAGTCTGCCACATAACACTGAGCAGAGTTCCACGTGCTATACAGTGGGTCCTTGTTGGTTATCCATTTTAAACATAGCAGTGTGTACATGTTCGTCCCAAACTCCCTAACTATCCTTTCCTCCCTAATCCTCCCAACCATAATCTCATTTTCAAAGTCTGTGAGTCTGTTTTGTAAGTAAACATTTGTATCATTTCTTTTTTCATTCCACATATAAGGGATGTCATACAATATTTTGCCTTTTCTGACTTCACTCAGTATGACACGCTAATTCATTACTTTCTTGAATGTTGCTTTCTCCACAAACCCCTTTTCTGTGGCAAATCCTATCACCAGTGGTTTTTATTTGCTGGTTTCCAGTGCATTTGGCAGTGGTGGTATCAGCATATCTCTCCACAGATATGAAAAATGAAAGTGTTAGTTGCTCAGTCCCGTCCCACTCTGCAACCCCATCGACTGTAGCCTGCCAGGTTCCTCTGTCCATGGGATTCTCTAGGCAAGAATACCGGAGTGGGTAACCATTCCCTTCTCCAGGGGATCTTCCCAACCCAAGGATCAAACCTGGGTCTATCTAGAGCAAATAATTCCAAATACTGCATGAAATGGGGGAAAAAAATTAATGTGTATCATTTTTCACTGTAGAATCTCTATCCAGGGAATCTAGATAAAGTAAAACGTGAAAAATCTCTCTTTCTTAAGGAGTCCACTATTAACTGGGATCTGGATCAAGGGGTCTAAGAGATGCTTGGGACAAAGAATCAGTTTCCTTTGGAGGCAATATGGTATGCAAGTGTAAGATTTCTGAGCCAGGTACACAGGGGTTCTCCCTCGGAGAGTGGAGATGCGAGGTAGAACACCACGACCCACCATCAAAGAAGTTGTCAGGGTCCCCTGCTGGGTGGTTCCCCTCATTTAACTCTTACAGCTCCACGGGGAGAGGGACACAAAGTAGCCTCGTTGCACAAACGAGTCTGTGTCTCAGAATTCAAGTAAATGGCTTAGGGAGTCGCTGCTAATAAGTTTCAGAGGCATGAAGGGAACTCAAATCTGCCTACGTGTCTCTCACCGCGCTCTGAAACCGAGACGCTGAGTTGGTCCGCTAGGCATTTTTCCAGTTCCCAGAATGATCGTGAGACGTTGTTTCTCCTCCAGTTTTCTCCAGGCCCATTATGGTGACTGTAGGTGTATTGTTTTTGATACCCACTCGCGTTTGGGTTTGTAATCGGGGAGGCAGTCTTCTCAGCATCCTGTCGCTGTCCCGGGAAGGTGGTGCTACTTTCTGGGGCTTCTCGGCAGGAGCGGGGATTCCCCGCCAACTAAAGAGGAGGCTCTATTCTCAACCTCACAGGCCGGGAACCCGCTCCCCGCTTCCCAGCTCCCCCTCCCCTTCCCAGCCTAAACAAAATACCCGCCTCCCGCCCCCAGCAATCGGCGCCTCGGGTGGACGGGGACCGGGAGCACCGGGGCATCGAGGCACCTCGGGAGCGCCCTCTGGCGAGAACAGAGCGCGCGCGCCCCGCCCGGCCCCCCTTCCCCGCCGCCGCGGCGCCCCCGCCCGGCTCTCCGGTTCACTCTCGGTCTCTCACTCCGAGAGACACAGACGGCAGCTTTCCGAGCGAGCCGGGGAACGGGCTGAGGCAGCGCCAGCACCACTGTCGCCGCTCGCTCGGAGCCGACCTGGGCACCGGGAGAGAAGGCGAGGCCGGAGCCCCATCCTCTCTCTCCGCGGGGGTCTCCTGAGCTGACCGGCCGCTTGGCGCCCCCGCGCGACACCCTCCACGGCCACTTCGCGGGGCGTGCCGCGACTTGGGGGACGCAGCTGGGGAAGCGCTGGGGCGGGAGGCGGCGGCGGAGCGAGGGTGCGCGCCCTGGGACTGGAGAGGAGTGAGCCGCGGGCTGGGCGGCGGCGGCCGTAGCCGCGGGGGCCTCCCCCGCCTCGCTGGTTGGCCGGCAGCACCGCCTCCCCGGGCCGCGGCCGCCCGGCCGGGTCCTCCGCGCGTTCCCGGGCCCGGAGCCGGCGCGCGATGCGCCCGGCCGCGTTCTGATCACCGCCGCGCCGCCGCCTCCGCCGCGATGATCCCCCCCGAGCCGCAGCCGCACCAGCCGCCGCCGCCGGCCCCGCCGAACCATGTGGTGACCACCATCGAGAACCTGCCGGCCGAGGGCAGCGGCGGTGGCGGAAGCCTGTCCGCCTCCTCCCGGGCCGGCGTGCGCCAGAGGATCCGCAAAGTGCTGAACAGGTGAGCGGCGGCGGGGGCGCGGGGCAGGGGACCCCCTCCGTCTCCCGGGCGGCCCCGAGGCCCTTTGGGACGGACGGAGTCGCGGCGCGGAGACCGGGGAGGGCGGAGGACGACGCGCCCCGCGCTGGCGGAGAGGCCGCTCGGCCGCTTTGTCCCGGAGCGGGGAGCCGTGGAGCGCCCGGGCGCCGGCTGGTCCGAGGCGGGAGTTCGGGGAGAGGCGGGGTTGTGCCTGCCGGGTTGCGGTTGTCCGCGCTCACACCCTCGCACACGCGTGTTGCCTCAGTTCCCTCTGCCCCGCGGGCCCCAGCTTTGCGCTCCGGGGCCGGAGAGGAGCCGGGGGTGGCCGGGAAGGAGCGGGGCTGCGGGAATGGCGTGGAAGTCGCCGGCCTCGGGTCCGCCGGGAGGTCTCGCACCCCGTCGCCGGGAGATGGGGTCACGGCGGCAGCAGCCCCCGCGGGCGGTCGAGGGGACCCACTTCTGCCGCCCGGTGCTCCAGTTGCTGATCCGACTCCTCCTGGCCAGGAGCGGGGAAGGGGAGATTAGAGGCCTGGGTCAGACCCAGGCAAAGTGCACAAATGTTGCGGGAAGGGGTGAGGAAGGAGGCGCCCGGTGTTGCACAGCCAGAGGAAGCAAACGCTGGCGGCCGGCTCCAGTGCTGGAATCTGCGCAGTGAATGGAGCAAGGATGAGGCGTTCTGGATGAGAACCCGGGTTGATGTGAAATGGGGCCCCTCTGGCGCCCCAGAGTCGGCTGTGATGCGAAAGGGACTTTTTCTATTAAAGCAACTTGACATGGTTGAAGAGCTGACCCTTAAAATTCAAATAGAGAACTGATTTTGTGTGTTTTTATTTGGGTACCTGTGTGCCTTTCCATGCATCTATTGGGGATAACTCAGAAGGTTGCTCTGTTCATACAGGTTTTTGTAGGGCGCTTTTGTGGGTAGCTGAGAGTCCCACAAGGGATTCACCTCGAGCCCTTTGGGGCTGGAAGCGCTAGTGGGAACACAAAATATGTACACAAATAGAAACCTAAAAAGCTCCGTATTTTCCAAGTATAGTGTAATTTAGTTATATGAAATTCCAAACCATTCAAGAATCCCTTGTGAAGACTTAAGGTATATTAGCTTGTGGGTACTTCTGTGTGTTTCCATTTATTATCAAAGGAGAAGAAATTCACTCTGAAATGAGACAAGAGATGATGATAGAAACTCAAAGTCTTTACTTTCCTCTGATTGGTAGCTTAGATTAACACCTTCCAAAATACTACATTTAAAAGATAATGAGCAGAATAAATCAAGAAGATGCTGGCTCAGTACATATTAGGAGGGCTTCCTAGTCTTTATGAATATCTGTGATTTTTTTTGAATCATAAATGCCTTGGCATTGGATATTTAAAATTTTATGCAGAATATGTTAATTATTGATTTCCCTCATCAAACTGGGAAAAAAAACCTGGTGCTACAGTTCATTTATCTTTGCTTGATTACAAGTTATTATTGATTCTGTGCAGGTTATTTCATGGTATTTCATGAATCTTAGAGTCCAGAATAACACGATCACTGAGGCAGAGCTGAGGGGACTTGGTTTGTCATGACTGCTCTGCCGCTGACTTGCCATGTGGCTTGGGGCAGAGCTGTTCATCTTGGTCTCTGGTTTCTTCACTTGTAAACTGTGTTTTATACTTGTCTTACCTCTCTTATCATAGTTTTGAGAAATAGATGGGATAATACAGAAGAAAAGACTTGGGAAAGTATAAAGCTTTACACGAATTCATTGTTCAGCAGAATTCTGTTATCTAAGGGAGGGTGGTGGGAACATCATAAGCAAATTAATTGAAGTCATGGGACATTGTGGGGGGGGAATGTTGTGTTTACTTATTAGCTTTCAGTGATCTATGACATGAGTTTTGTAGAGGAGGAACTTAGACTGAAAGGTTGAGTCCATGACATTCCATGGCTTATACATCTGTGAATGGAACCCTAGCGTTATAGCCTCTAGACTTCAACTGAAACATTTGGTTGTCTTTCAAAGTTTTGCAAAATTTTCTATATAATATTTGGCATTAAATAATGGTCTTTCCTTATCCTTAAAGGATAAGAAAATATTTCTTTTGAGAAGGAGTGCCTTTGGTAAGGAGACTAAAAAAAAATCAGTATAAGTATAAAAATCCTGGTGGATTAATTTCATTAGCATGCTGATGGGCCTGACTATTGCTCCGGGGTTATGGCAACAGGAGACAGCACTAGTTGTAACTGCTGAATGAGCATGGAGTGGGGAGTGGGATTTTTGAGATTCTGTGCCAGCGTTTCAGTATGGCTCCCCTCCGGTTTGAACCCTCCAGGTGTGTCGGACTAGTCCAGTAACGGCTTTAAGGCTGTCCCATGGGATGCCATATCACACGTATCCTTGTTCATTTTTCTAAAAGCTAAAGATCACCTTTTCCTCCTTTTTTCCCTCTTCTTCTTTCCTTAATATTTGTATTTCCTTCACCTGTCTTGCCCTATCAACTAATTATCTTCTGGACTTTGTTTCCTTTCATCTAACCCTGGCCTGCAGCAGCTTAGCTGCTAGCAGAAAGTGAGGTTGCAAATCTGGAAGCTTTGGAGCCAATATGAAAAATACCCCTCTAACTTCTGGCATGGAAATGTACTGCTGGCAGCGTTCTATTGCTGTGAGCCGGCCAGTTGAGTGTCTTTAGTGACTGAGAGGGGCCTTGCACCCCGTTAGTTACTCTGAGCATCCCACTGGGCCGGAGGGGTGGTGCTTAGAGACTGAGGATGATGTTCTGGGATGAGGAGGGTCAAAGTGTGAGCATTGCAAGCTGGCAAGCCTGGTGAACTGCTTGCCACTGTCACAACCTGTAATAATAGCTACCTGCCAACCCAGAGGAGGAAACGCAAACACGTATGTTACCTATATCCTGTCTACCTAGGGACAGGTAAAGAGAGAAGTACTGATTAATAATTAAAGGTACTTGCTCTCAAGAATCTTAGAAGGAAAATCCAATGTTACCTTAATGCAACCTGCCTTGCATTGTCCTGCATCATTTTATTTTCACAGTGTATCTCCAAATCCTTTTCCCCTTTCATTAAAGGCTTGTAGAGTTGGATTGTTACCTTTCATATATGACAAATGGATTGCCTCACTGATTGACTCTTGTGCTGTGCTGTGCTTAATCGCTCAGTCATATCTGACTCTTTGCAACCCCATAGCCCGCCAGGCTTCTCTGTCCATGGAACTCCCCAGGCAAGAATACTGGGGTGGGTTGCCATACCCTCCTCCAGGGGATCTTCCCAACCCAGGGATCAAACCCAGGCATCCCGCATTGCAGGCGGATTCTTTACCATCTGAGCCACCAGGGAAACCCCCACTGGTTGACTACTCCCTGTAAAACATTCGAGTAGAATATAATAGTATCCATGATTTTGGTGAAAGAGGAGGTGCTAGATAATTTTTTTAAACCAATTAATGGGATATGTCACGTGCTTCTCCCCTGTACTAATAAAAATTGCTTCTGTCAATGCAAAAAGTACCAAATGATTTAGCTGCTGATATAATGGTTACTTCTTTAATTCCCAAAGATTTAGAATAATGTCTTGGTTCAAAGAAGAAAAAAATTATGGCAAACCCCTATTCACTTGTTTCTTGAGTGTGGAATAGCATTTATTACCCTGCTACAGGCAAGCAAGGTATGACAGAAAAGAAAATACTTGAAGGGCAATAGTTGATGACCCTCTCACAGAAGCTGTTGATACTAGTAGATTTCTTAGAAACATATGAGTAGATACTGACCTATGTAGTATCTGAAGATTTTCTCCTCTAAAATTATTTCTTAATAAAATGTTTGTGAAAAATGAGTGATGGCTTGTTTTATGTTTTGCTTGTGTGTGGTTTTATCTTTCCCCATTTGAATATTATTTTCAGATCTTAATAATAATCACCATGACTTTCCAGCTTTGACCCATTTTCTCTCTAATAAGAGATGAATTGGGTTGTCTCAAGTTATGAAGGGGTTCCTGCCTTTTTGAGTCTTGTGGTGGGGATACTTGATCATTAGAATGGAACCACGAGTGTGACTCTGGGTTATCCATTCATCTGATTTAAAACGAACTGGTTTCTAAGTTACATTTTGATATATTTCATTAATTTTTGAATATGTGAAACTTTTTTGAATTGAAAACTAAAGAGCTTTAAAGCATACATGGGAGAGTTGGTAGCAAGCCTACACAGAATTGACATCCACGTGGGGAGTTACCGTATGTGATGGAACAGTATGTATATATAGCTTTTCTGGGTTATTAAATAAAGCGGAGAGAACATGGTGAACCAGCGGAGTGCCTGCCAAAAACAGGGTTATGCTTGTCCTGTTAAATACAGTTGATGAAGACATCTATTATCTCTTAGGTGATCCTTACTTATCAAATGGTTTTTGGTAAAAAAATTGATAAAGAGGTTCCTCCTCAAGCTGCTTCGCCTAACAGATGTCAGAATGAAAGGGGAAGACCAACCAGTAATGAGGATAATTGACACAAAGTATTCCAAATGGAACAGGATGGTGTGATTAAAAACAGACATTTCTGAGATCAATAGTAAACACAAAATGTCTGAAGGACACATTTATTTTTAACTAAAGGACAATATTATAAAAATAAAAGATCAGTGTGTTTTTTTTTTGCGCAGAGCTTAGAAAAATGAATGTTCACATTAAAGGAATTTTGGTTTCCCCTGGATGAAGATGGTACATTTCCAAGGAAGTAATGTGGAAGGAAATGTACCTATCTTCATGTAACTTTTCTGTGACCTTTTACTCTCTCAAGATCTTTTGGGGTCACAGGAATATAATAAGAGATGTCTGTTTTTACTGTACACTGCTATAGATGTAGATGATAAAGCAGATTGACTCGACTGCCATATAGTTCTAAGTTACTTAATGCAAATGCTTATTTGGCTTATTTAATTGTGGCTTTATTTAATTAATGGCTTATTTAATTGCCATTTTTC